TTGAGACTGTTACATGCGCAGCCCCTGATGAGCCATGCTTCCCGCACCCGTGCCCTTACCTCGTCCCTTCCCATGTCAGCTCTGGGTTTGGTCGTGTGACTTTCGTTGGCCAATAGGACATTCACAAGCATGACACCAAGCAGACGCTTGGCAAGAACCTGCATGCCGAGGCTGGTCCTCTTGGAACGCTCTGTCCTGGAATCCAGCTGCCATGCGGGGGGGAAGCCCAAGCCAGCCTGGTAAAAAGACTTAAAGCAAAACAACGAGGCAGCCCGGCCAAGAGCCAGCACTAAGACCCCCAGGCACGTGAGAAGCCCTGTTTGACCTATCAGCCCAATCTAGCTGCCCACCGACTGTATCCACATGAGAGACCCCAGGTGCCTTCAACTGGAGTCCAAGAACCACCCAATTAATCCGTAGAATCGGGAGACATTATTGCCCATTCATTATCACCCAGCGCTGCTTTGCAGCCACTAAGGTTTGGGATGGCTGTTAGACAGTAATAGATAACTGAAAGACTATTTAATCTTTCTCAGCCTCAGCTACCCCCTCCACAAAATGGGGTGATGATATCTGTTACCAAAAGGTATGAGAAGAAAATTTAAGACACAGGAAGATCATTTGCTGAACACCTGCTGTTTCAGGAACCATGGTCGATGCCTTATGGATATCATTTATTTTTTAGTTTATTTAGTTTGAGAGAGACAGTGTGAGTCAGGGAGGAGCACAGAGAAAGAGAGAGAGAGAGAGAGAGAGAGAGAGAGAATCCCAAGCAGGCTCCATGCTGTCAGCACAGAGCCCCGTGTGGGGCTCGAACTCACGAATGACCTGAGATGAAACCAACAGTTGGATGCTTAACCCGCTGAGCCACCCAGGCGCCCCTTTACGTATGTAGTTCAAAGCATCTACTCTGCAGAGCCTCCCTGGGCAGGAGGTGCTGTTTGGTCCACTTTACTGGTGAGGGGACTGAACTCCGAGGGGTTCAGTAAGTTGCCCATGGTGGTGCATCTAGGATCAGAACTGGGACTCTAACCCATGTCCCTCTGGTTCTAGCCACTGTGGCCCAGCAGGGTCTCCGCTGTCACCCATAAATGGATGGCCTTCCAGCAAAGCACCAAACCTTCCTACCTTTCAAGAACTCGGTTTCGGGGCGCCTGAGTGGCTCAGTCGGTTCAGCGTCCGACTTCCGCTCAGGTCATGATCTTGCGGTTTGTGAGTTCGAGCCCCGCGTCGGGCTCTGTGCTGACAGCTTGGAGCCTGGAGCCTGCTTGGGATTCTGTGTCTCTCTCGGCCCCTCCCCTGCTCATGCTCCGTCTCTCTCTGTCTCAAAAATAAATAAAACATTAAAAAAATTAAAGAAAAAAAAAAAAGAACTGGGTCTTTGTCAGATCGCTGGAGGAAGTAAGCAAGCTTGTGTCCCCTTGAGAGCGGGTTAGCATGGCTCCTTTTGGTGGCCAGTCCTGTGCTCTTGGTGCTGCTTCTGCCAGCCCCGGGGTCACCAGGGATGACAGAGCTCAGAGCAAATCCATTTTCACTTCTAGGAAAGCAGCTAATGGGGGTCAGCAGCTCCACAGTCACAGCCAAAAGGTAGCTTGTTTCTCAAGAGGCAGGAAGTGCCTGGGCCACGGGTGCCCTGCCCCCACCACTGGAGTGCCTCAAGAAACCAGAAGCCAGCCCATTTGTCCCCCGACGAGACAGCCCCCCCAACACTAACCCATAGTGGCGGGGGTGGCTGTGGGGACCTGGTCCACGAGGGAGGGGGAGTGGGGTGCCACCAGAGAGGCCCCCACTGGCCCAGGCAGACACTGCTGGGAGGCTCCCCACCCTCCCAAGAACTGGTGAGTGACACTGAAGAAGGAGGCAGAGGAAGCAGCTGTCCCCACCCCAGGGGGCCGGGGGCAACCATGTCCTGGGTGGGCTAGAGAACCCCCTGCTGAAAAGACCCCACGGCCTCCCTGTCTCCTCGATTCCACCCACCTTACTCAGAAAGCCTTTGTCTTCACGGGATCAGAAACGGTTTCAGAAGTGCTCACCCATTCGGAAGGCGTATTGCTAGAATGATCTCAACTTTGCCTGAAGATCGTATGTATTTTGGGCACCTGGGTGGTTCAGTGGGTTAAGTGTCCGACTTCGGCTCAGGTCATGATCTCACCATTCGTGGGTTCGAGCCCTGGATCAAGCTCTGCCCCATCAGCTCAGGGCCTGCTTGGGATTCTCTCTCTCCCTCTCTCTCTGCCCCTAACCCACTTCCTCTCTCTCTCTCTCTCTCGCTCTCAAAAATAAACAAGTAAACATTTTTAAAAATTAAATGTATTTAAAATTTATACATATATATATCTATGAAAAATATATGAAAATGAGTGGCAAGAACCATCTGGAAATGTTGACAATGATGGTCTCAAGTGGTAAGGTGGGGTTTCTTTCTTTTCTTCTTTATATCTTTCATCTTTGACTTCCCTACCAAGGGCATGATTGCTTTTCGAATCTGAAAATAAACTATATTGTCTCTGCTGCTTTTTATGAATGCGAGTGGCCTGGAAAAGCCACACCTTAAAACTCTTTCCATCCCGCACTACATAATTGGTGCCCACCCACATTATTAGCTGGTGTCTCAGGACATTTTAGTCTTCAACCAGGGGAGCAGTGGGGAGAAATCCACACCAACCCTTAAGGCAAAAAGGGCAGGACCACTGAGGCAAACGGAAGGGGGCAGGTCAGTAGCTTAGAGACCTGGGCCCCGCCGCCGTGCAAGGCTGGGCTGGAGAAGTTGCCGGAATGGAGGGCCACCCCTGCTCAGCCTGGGGGTGGAAATACGATCCTGAGGTTTGATCATGCGTGCCACCTGGTTCCCGTCGGACCCCATCACTGAGAGTGACGGCCCTACCTCGCAGGCTGAGCGCGGATTGTCGGAGGTGAGGTGGTATACATACAGTGCTCAGCACAGGTCCCAGCACACACCAGGCACTCAATAAATGCAGGTATGATTGTTAGGGATAAATGCATGCCCACGAGCACCCACTCTCTGGGTGAGCTCCGTGTCTCAGTCACCCGATCTCAGTGCCAGAAAGGGAAGAAGCTATGCCACACCCTCAGCCAGTGATCCCCTGTTCTGTCCCTTGATGGGTCCTGCTGTCCATGCGGCCAGAGAAAGTTTTTTCTACCCCCAGAGCGGCTTTTAGATGTGCATTGGCCAATGCAAGCAGCTCCTTAGCATGGGTGGGGAATGTGCAGGTGACACCACCAAAGGCCATTAAAGTAGCCCAGACGAGGGCCGCCCTGGCGGCTGAGTCGGTGAAGCACCCGACTCTTGATTTCCGCTCAGGTCGCGATCTCGAGGTGCGTGAGTTCAAGTCCCGCCTCAGGCTCTGTGCTGACAGTGTGAAGTGACATTTCCGCCATCCTCTTGCACTTTCAGGCTTGCAGGGACCAGCTGCTCGCTCCCCGCTCTCACGTGCACGCCCGATCCCAGGAAGGGGTTTTGCAGTAAGTCATTAACACGTTAGCATGAACTTCACTGCTCCCGGGGGCCTCTGGTTTCATCGTGGAATAAAACGCTTTATTCTCATCCCTTGAAATCCCACTATGTGGGAAGGTCGTTGGCCTTAAATGAGAGAATGGGAAGGAGTTCTAATTTTGGTGTTGTGACCATCCTGGGCTCAGTCACCCACATCCCCAAGGTCGGGACCTCCTCGACTCTCTGGGTCCAGTAATATGTGTACTCCCCTTTATTTCTCTCATTAAGGAGACTTGAATAAAAACACGAAAAGCTTCTCTCTGTATCCTGAAAAGAGAAGGATTTAGAGAGGAAAAAATAAAAAAGTGTTGAACTGACTAAAAGAAAAAAGAGAGAGAGAGACAGAACCGAGAAGTCATAAAGGAAAAGATGGACAGATGTGACAACACAAATCTCCTTTTAGTGCTTACGATTTTTTGAACGAGTTGCCAGCGCTTTGCAATTGGAAGTTTTCCCATACAAATGTATATTCCCAGCATCCTCTGAAGAATCGTTAGATCTGGCACCCTTGGTTCCCACCTTCCCACCGGGCAATGCTTGGCGGGAGCCCAGCAGAGGGGGGCGCGCTTCCCGGGCCCGCCACAGCCCCCGAGCGAGCGTGCATCACTTATTGGTACGGCTTGCCTCGCCTCAGCCGGCCCCTGAGCTGTGCCACGAACGCGGCGAAAAGACAAGAGATGCTCCAGGAGAACAGGCTTGCGACACGTCCAGCAAAGAGTTAATAGCCATTCCAGATAAATAAGAACCAGACAAACAGTTCGATGGCAACCTACCGGTGATTAGGAAAATGCAAACGAAAATGTGAGGGTGCTTTTTTTCTTTTCCCCCAGAAGCCATCACATTGGCAAAAAAAAAAAAATCAAACCGCGTTTCCAGCATCGCCGTTGCCAAGGGTGTGGGGCTCCCAAGGCCCCTGGGAGCAGTGAAATTCATGCTCACGTGTAAACGTGCAGAACCCACGTGGGTTATCGGTGCGTGTGCAAATTGGTGCGACCTTTTTGGAGGGTGATTTGCAGTTGTGATCATTATTTTAAATACATACACGTTTAAAGAAATGTGGGTAAACTATCAAAGTAGAGCGCGCATATAGAAAAGGACCCAAATCATGAGTGCGTGTGACTATTGCCTGGATCGAGAAAGAGAGCAGAGCATTATCAGTGCCCAGAAGCCCCCGTGCTCTCTCCTGCTCAGTAAACCCCCCAGGTAACCGCTATCCTGACCCCAAATAGGAGCCGCCTGTTTTTGAACATTCCATGGGTGGAATTACACAGTATATATTCTTTTGTGTCTGGTTTCTTTCACCACATGTTATATTTTGAAGCTTCATCTATATTGCTCCGTGAAGCAGAACATTCATTTTTGTTGCTGTATAGAATTCCATTGCACAACCAGACCACGCTTTATGATTCTGTTGTACTGTCGAAGAACATTTGGGTTGTTTCCAGTTGGGGGCTATTGTAAACAGGACAGCTATGAACATTTTTGTATGTGACTTTGGGTGCACGTGGAAACACGTGTCTGCCGGGCGTATCCCTCTTGACAACACTTTTCCTCTGGAATCTATCTCACAGAACCCCCCGGACAGAATAAGCCTGAACGTCCGAGGGTGTTTATTGTAACGTTAAAAAAGAGTGGGGTCGGATCACTTCTCGGCCCTTTGGCTAAGATCAAGTGTAAAAATAGTGGGGTCGGGGCGCCTGGGTGACTCAGTCCGTTAAGCGTCCGACTCTTGATTTCGGCTCGGGTCATGATCCCAGGGTCGTGGGATCAAGCCCCGAGTCAGGCTGTGCGCTGAGCGTGGAGCCTGCTTACGATATTCTCTCTTTCTCGGGGCGCCTGGGTGGCTCAGTCGGTGAAGCATCCGACTTCGGCTCAGGTCGTGATCTCGTGGTTCGTGAGTTCGAGCCCCACGCTGGGCTCAGTGCTGACAGCTCGGAGCCTGGAGCTACTTCGGATTCTATGTCTCCCCCTCTCTCTGCCCCTCCCCCACTCATGCTCTGTCTGTCTGTCTCTCTCTCTGTCTCTTAAAAATAATAAATAAACATTAAAATTTTTTTTGAAAGGTATTGTCTCTGTCAAAAATATATATATATATATAATCTAATGCTTAATCCTGACTTGGAATAGTCTGCAGCTGATAAAAAAGGAGGGTGCTGGATGTGTGGGCTCTGATATGTCAGGCTGCCCACCTACCATCAAGTGAAAAAAAAAAAGGCATGTGGCAAAAATACCGATTCCACTTTTTAAGCTAACAAAAGGCCAAACAGAGCTTTATACATGGAGACTTGTGTGCATTAACTGTCTAGAAAGACTTTTCACATATGAGCCGGGGAAGGGAGTGCCATGGGGTGGGGATGGTGAGATTTGCCATACATCCTACGTATCTCCAGTGTATCCACTTTTTTCCACCTTCATCGCCACTGTCCTATACTAAGCCACCATGACCTTTGGTGTCGACTCGGCGGGCCGCCCGTGGAAATGTTGGCCTCCAGAGGACCCTGCTGCAGCAGAGTCCGATTTTTAAAATAAAAAATTTCTTATTTTTTTTTAATGTTTATTTTTATTCTTTTTTTTTTAATTTTTTTTCCACGTTTTATT